TCTACTTTGCGAGTCTCATCCTGATTCAGGGTTAAGGTTAGGTTAGGATTAAGGTAGGCATACGGTTAAGGTTAGAGTGAAAATTCCAACGAAGATTATGCAAAGCATCTATTTGTAGTGCTAAGCTATCTGATTGGTTGGTTTAAGGCCATTTGAATATGGTGCCAATCTTGATTGGACACTAGTAACTAGTGTGATGTGTCTAGTCTTTTCTTTGGTGTAGACTAAATTCTATTAGTCAGGTTTGCAATATGGCCACTATTCTAGGTAGCTCGCCTTCACGGTGTACATTGATTCGATGATATTAGATGGTTGGAGGCAGTCGGCAGGAAGCCTTGGACCTAGGTTTCGTGCTAGTTGGCACTCACCAGTCAGCAAGGCGCATCTGCAACCTTGAAGGAACTCATGTCCCTTCTGAGATTCGAACCCGCGTCACCCAGTGGGACTGCAGTCAGAGACGTTACCACTGAACTATTCGGGCTCGCGATTGACCTCCTGTAGTGGATATTTTGAATCAGATTGCACCAAAGAAGGGACTAGACACACCACACTAGTTACTAGTGTCCAATCAAAATATCCACTACAGTCTTACAGGAGGTCAATCGCCCGAATAGCTCATTGGCAACGTCTCTGCAGCACCGAATGGTGATGCGGGTTCGAATCTCAGTAGGGACTTAAGTTCCTTTGAGGTTGCAGATACGCCTTGCTGACGGGTGCCAGCTTTCACGAAACCTAGGTCCAAGGCTTCCTGCCGATTGCCTTCAACTATCTAATATCATCAAATATGGTGCCCATTGTTTACTGTTACGCAGAACGTATAGTGAGACTTTAAGCCTTCGGCCCTATGTTCCAATCACAACGCAAAGTAGTGGAAAAAGCTTAGCAGTTTACCTTTGAGTAATCCGGGTGTGTTTAACACAACTAAAAGAGTTAATTAGAAATAATCTCAGTTATCGTAGTGTGTCAGACCCATTTAGTTTAGTGAATGATGTCAATGTATCCTGCATGATAATGATATCTCTAAATATTAACCCTCCCTTCAAAAGCATCACTGAGAGAACACTGTCATATAGACGTATGCACAAGAAGCCAAGAATTCCCAAGTAAAGTGAAGGACAAATGTTAATTTCCACATCTTTTGGCATGTGAGTCCTACCAGAATGAGACTAATAATTACATTGACTAGCCATCAAGGAGTTACTAGAGTCGTCTGCTAATTAGTGTTTAATGTTAGTGTTGACTGGATTCTACTAGTCACCAAGCCTAGTGACTTGCAAGGCTTGTTTGGAAACAATCAAGAGAAATCCGTGGACCTACCTTCTGTGCTTACTACCACTTGTCAGCAAGATGTACTGAACTGAAGTTTGTTTTTTCAGAGATACAAACACGCATTGTTCAATGGTGAATTTGAAGATGTTAGCATTGAGCTATTTGGACTATTACAAACAATCTTGTACAACAAGTAACAGGAAGTCACAACTTTAATCATTTAGCTATAATCAATAATTCTGCAGTGTCAGCGGATCAGAGATAGGATACTCGCTTGCCATGCATGTGGTCCAGGGTTCGATTCATGGCCAGTGTGCACCTTTACCTTCCCTAGCCGGTTGTAAGCCAGATAAAGTGGGAAGGTTTGGCGTGAGACTAGCAATCCAACCCCGTAAAAAGCACTACTGCTACAGAAACTTCACAGATCATGTTTGAGGCCCTATTGTCCATCCGAAACGCTTTGAATAAAATAATTGAAAAAATTAATTCCGCAAGAGTGGTTAACAGTTATCCTATCATGTAATATTTTAGTGGACAGTGACTATAATTGGAGTCCGAGTGACTCATTTCGTCCCAGTAAGCGGTGGTGCTGTAAGGAAGAAAAGACCAATGAGGCTGGACTCAACTCTTCAATTTTCTTGGCACTCCGTCATCACTGGAGCAACATACGGAGTCATCGTTTGCCTTTTGCCACTTCGTGAAAATCTATTGGCTGAGCTGCGTTAACTGGCTACAATTGATGAGCAGTATCCGTAGGGACGCATTCGTGGAACTGGGAAGCTGCCAACTGCTCTCGTGAATATTCGTCCAAAGTGGATAACGCGCGTTGCTGAAGATTTGTCAGCGTCACTGCGAAAACCAATGGGTTCCTGTCCCAACCAAGCCTCAGATTCTAGAACTTCTTAAGTGTCCCGACGACTTTGCATCACCTCATTGTACATAGATAAATTTGGTATACAATATCGCCCATGCTTTATTTGCACATCATTTGCAAAATGGTCGAATGTCACCACATTCGATAGCTTGATGTATTCTGCGCAGTGTTTCTAACGTTCATGTTACAGTTCTGTTCTTTGATTGCTTTTTTTCTGTGTCTAAAACATATTGTCGCTTTTCTAAACTCGTTTGTTGATATACTACTTATATCTGCTTATAAGCAGCACTCACTACAGTGCTTCCAATGAAACTGAAACCCAGTACTCTTCATATGAAACACCAAAGTGTTATCCAGTAGACCACCATTTAAGAGGCATAAATTATTATCTCTTTACTTTAATTTTGATTTTCCTGTGACCCAAGTGGTCTCACGAAGTTAGTAAGGAAGGGCGCTGGGTTAGACTCTTAATGGGGGAAAGTGGCGTGTGCTACCGATAAGATTTATCAGTGATATATAAACAGACGTTCATCAGCACAAAAAATATCAAATTGGAGCGAGACAGATTTGACATCAGAGAAAGCAAATGATTCAGAGTCCCAGAGAAAAATGGGAGACGTGAAAGCATCACAATGGAACACAATATGAAGGAAGGCCAGAAGTAGCGCAATAAAGGATATTTGTATAAATGATGATTTTCAGATAAGGTGCACATAATTTAGCTATACAGCGATACCAAATTTCAAACAAACATTCTTATACCAAGTCTGTTTTCTTCTACCGTTACAGGAACATCATCGCTCACTGAGGATTGCAGATAAATGCAGATAGGACGAAGTGCGAATCTTGGATTGCATTACCAATCATCAACCACATATATGGAGATTATGTATATCATATATGAAATCCGTCATCTGCACAAATCTTCTATGTTGTACTAATTCTGCCCTACTTATTGTCTTCTTTTTGTGTCTCCCATATTTCTCTTTTTGACATCAAATTTATCCCTCCGCTATTTGATGTTTTTGTGCCAATTAGAGTCTTCAAATGTTGGTTTGTAGGGATTTAATTGGTTTCAGGATTTCATTATGAGCTGACATTAGTTAGAGAACCATTGGAAAACTTGGGAGTACTGGACAGCTGTTTCGTCCGCCTAGTTTGGGACTCTTCAACAGTACGCACCCACCGGGATTCGAACCCAGGACCTTCCGGTTACAAGGCGAGCCAGCTCGTAGACCATCTAGCCACTGGGACCCGATCCAATGGTCCTTGAATTCTAACTTCTGCCAATTCACGATATAGCGCGACCGCTAGCCAATGTCTTCGGTGAGTATTTGTCCTCACACCCGACCTGCTGCACCCTACTGGTAACGACGTCCCACGCCAATTAGAGTCTCTTTATTTACTATTGATCAATCCTGTCAGTTGGAGAACCATTGAAAAGAAGAACTGGAGCACTGGACAGTTATTTCATCCTAGTTCGGGAATCATCGGCAGTCCGAACCGACTACCAGGTTTCGAACCTAAGACTTTCCGGTTACAAGGCAAGCTGGCTCGTACACCATTCAGCCACCTGGACCCGATTCAATGGCCATTCCATGAATTCTAACTTCTATCGGTTCATGTTGCATGTAGCGTGACTGGCATCAACAAATGTCATCGGAGGGACATTTATCCTCACACCTGACTGGATGAACCTCACTGGTCACGACTTCCCACTAGAACTCCAAGAAACTTTCTCCTGTAGCAAGTTACTAGCAAGCATCAGATTCATCTTCAAGAGCTAGTTCGTAGGGATTTCATTATGAGCTGAAATTGGTCATAGAACCATTGGAAAGCCTGGAAGTACTGGACAGCTGTTTCGTCCTATTTTATGACTCTCTAACCAATGTCAGCTCAAGATGAAATTCTGTAAGCAATCAATCAAATCCCTAAAGAACCAATACTTGAATATTAATGAGATGCTCACTGTCGACTGGGCCTATTCAGGTAGGTAGTTACCTGAGGTTCTAGTGTGAAGTCGTGACCAGTAGGATGCGGCAGTTTGGGTGTGAGGACAAATACTCGCTGAAGACATTGGCTAATGGTTGCGCTATGTCGTGAATTGGCAGAAGTTAGAATTCATGCACTGACTGGCCCCTGGATCGAGTCCCATTGGCTTAATGGTCTACGAGCTGGCTCGCCTTATAACCAGAAGGTCTTGGGTTCGAACCCCAGCGGGGTGGGTGCATACTGATGAAGAGTCCCAAACTGGGCGGACGAAACAGCTGTCCAGTACTCCTTAGCAGGCTTTCCAGTGGTTGTCTAACTGATGTCAGCTCATGATGAAATCCTGTAACTAATTTTCAAGAAATGGATTCCATAGTCTACGAGCCTGCCTTGCAACCTGGAGGCCCTGGGCTCGAACCCTGGCAGTGGGTGCATACTGCCGACGATTCCCAAACTAGAATGAAATCACTGTCCAGTACTCCTTTAGATGGTTTTCAATGGTTCTCTAACTGATATCAATCCCTCGTTAAACTCGAATAAATAAATCTAATCCTTAGAAATCAAACACTTGAGAACCCTGTCAGTAGAACACTCAGCGAAAGCAAAAAACTTTCTTTGGGAAAAAATAAAGCTGTACACAAATTATTTCATCTTTTCATAGGGATAATTTATCTCTATTTTGACTTTCATTGGTGAATTCACTCTACGCCAATAAGCAATTTGGTTATCGCCCAGTTTTCACTTTATCTCCAGACTATTAAGAAGGGCGTATAGCAAATGACTAAGTGAATAACTGAATAACTGACGGATATTCGGTGATATTAATATAAATAGATTCACTAAATATATATTAAATCTAATACGCGACAAATATAAATCGCATTTTGAATATTAAATATGTCAGGACATGGAAGGAAACCGGTTAAACTGCCGTCATTTGTTAATTCCCATGAAGAATTAGAAAAACTCTTCGCCTCTTGTCCATTTATGTCTGTACTGTTATCACAACCGAATATGAAAGATCAGAAACCGGTGAAACAAGTAAAGAAAGTGTCGAAAGATGAGAAAATCACGAAAAAGTCAAATGATAAGGACAGTACAGCGGTAGAATCCAACGATAATTCTATCGAGAAAGAAATTTCTACAAAGTCTAATGAAACAACCGAAGAAGTAAAACAAACTAAAGGTTAGTTGACATGCAGTTTCACTATACATCTCAAGAAGTAGTACATTTTGCGGTTTTGTATTCTATTCTAGTCTATTCCCGTTTTAATCAAATTATTAATGTCATCTAGGATCCTGAGTAGGTCGTATTCTTATCGAAATGGAAGTTTCCTCTGTGAAAATCTATACTTAGTCCTTTCAATGAATAAAAATAATGGATGACAGTAGTGAAGCATTATTTGGTAGATGGTGGCTAGCATGGGAATTTCATGTAAATTTAGATAATTGAGTCCCAAATGGGAAGAAGGGAATCAGGCTGGATTCCACAGCTAGTCACCACCCACCAACGTACTATTATTATTATTATTTTCATGCGTTCAGAGCGGAACATAGGGCTTCAACAACACATCTGTACTTTCTCCTATTTTCTGCTATCCTCTTCAACTGGGTCCATGACTGCCCATCATCTCTCATCTCCTCCTCACCAACACACCATCTCCTTCATGTAGCTCTCACACCGATGACCCATTCGTCGCTTCCCACAGAAGTTTCACTCGAGTGTTGGCCTGAACCGCGATGTCATTCCACGGTCTCCTCAGTGTGTATGCCCGATCCATCTATCTCCATTTTCTCCTACTTATTTGTTGAGCAGTCGGCCTTTGGTTGGTTCTCTCCCAGCAAAAACTTTTTTATTGCTAGTTCCTTCTGGTGATTTGATCTTCAGTATGGAGCCAGCCAGCCAGCGAAAGGGGCAGCTACTGATAAAAGTCTGCAATAGGCTGTTTGAAATCCGTGTAGAAAGTTCATCTTGGCATTAGTGTTGAAAATCCGAATTTTGTTCCTTATTCTGAGTACAGAAGATTTCCAAACTGGTTTCATGTTGATGAAGGCGTATCTTGCCTTTCCGATTCTGATTGGCTGACTTTGTCATCTTCATCCGTCCTGCTGGCCTGTAGTTGAAATGATGCTTCCAATATTAATGAAGTAGGCAGCCTCTGCTAAATCTCTTCCGTTGATGGTGATTGGTGCTGGTTGTTGTCGTTACAGTCGGCTGGTCGGTTATCTTCATCACCTCCATCTTCCGCGCGTTTACCTGCAGTCCTGTCTTCTCTGCTGGTTTGTTGCTTTTCACCTGTAAGTCTTCGGGTTTGTGTGACTGTTATGTACTCGTCGCTAAGTTATTGTTATAGACTGGTCGAGAAACTAATAGTCCTGACGCAAGAAGGCGGAAATCAGAAGACCACTAGGTTTGCGATGATACTGCTATTTTCCAAACACAAGGAGAAGCAACAAGTGGTATCACACCAAAGTGAGTAAGTAGGTAAGTGGACACACAAATTGTGTGAGCGAAATATATATAAATGTCCAGACAAAAGTGTGTGAACAAATCAATGGACAGTCTTAACATGAATGGCTAATTATAATGAAGTATCGATCCATATATACATAGCGAAATATAGCAGACATGTCAACAACCACCATATATGGATATATGTCACCAAGCATTGGACTGTCAACAAACACTCATATTATATATAATATAATATAAGGAGAATATACATTGATAAAGGAGACAAGTTCATACAAGTGAAATGGTCACAGAATAAGCGAGCAAACGGAAAGAGAGACCAACATACACACATACATATATGTAAACGGATACATATCACTTTTAAAATTAAGTTTCATATTTGAATTAAAGTATGAATATTCATAAGGAAGAATTCACGTGTTTTTTTTTATCTTTTTCATTGTGAAAAGATGGTGTTCTCTTAGAAAAAATGAAAATTATTCAACTAAGAATGATAAATTCGATTTTTAGTAATTGTTTAAAGTTGTATATAATATGATCATTTACCGTCTTTGTCAGTACACGAACAATATTATGAAACAATGTATATTATTCACTATGTGGAGTAATGGAGAAATGGAATGTTGAGTCATTTTGGATCGTCATTAGCTTCAATTTCTTTTTTTTAATTCCTTTAGGCTCCCAGTGGAACATAAGGATTCAAGCTCTAGAGCTTTGAAGTTTCGGTAACAGTGGTGTTTATTTTATGAGATGTCGTTGCTATCCGCCTCATGCCCAACCTTCCCTCTTTACCGATTTTATTACGGGTCTTGTGAGGTAAATAAGTACGTTGTTGGCTGGGAATCGAGCGCTGTACCACATGAGGCGTGATTTGTGAGCATTCCACTGCTGTACCACCGACTTACAAGCCTGTATCGGAGGTGGGATTCGAACCGCGCCCACATGGTGGGCTAGAATTTGAGTCTACTTACGTGTATTTAGTCAAAGGTGAACGACTGATGATATGTAACAGTGCTGTGAAGTAAGTCACTGTTTTTGTATGGTTCACAGACAAGGCGCGTCACGAAAAACATTTTCCTAACAGGCAGTGGCGGACTGTAACCAATAGATACCTTTGTTCAATATTGAAGACCAGATAGCTGGCTAGAAAGAACAAGCAAAAAGGGGACTCTGGAAACGAACCAACAAACATATAATCGTTCAAAAAAATATTCGGAAAAAAAGTAGATATAACTTAGATATACTCTTAGAAGATCGTCGAATGACATCACACGCCAAGCCAATGAGTAGAACCCGAATTGAAAACTGCGAGTTGGGCGTTGGTCCAAGGGTAACACAGAGATCATTATGTAAAGAGGAGCAAATGAAAGCTTGTGGACAATCTTGGAACAAGCTTTTAAAAGACTTTAGATAAGAGAGTGAAACGAAGATATATACTGCTGAAGGCTTTTGTTCGACTTTGAACCTATGCTTTATCTTTATTACCTTGTCAGACTAATAAAGAAGGGTTACCAGCTAGCTTGCCTTGTAACCAAAAGGTCCCGGGTTTGAACTCTGATGGCGAGTGCATACTACAGAAGAGTCCCAAACTAGGACAACAGAATCAGGTGTCTGGCAGTACTTCAAGGTTTTCCGATGGTTCTCTAACCGATATTAGCTTATATGATGAAATCCATAGCCAAACGAAAATACACTTAGTAAGCTTTTGGTGGAGTTACGTAATACATAAAGCTCTCAGAGGAACTGGTAGTTGATATAAGAGAGTAGTACAACAATGATGAATTGTCACAAACGATTGTTTAAGAAGAGTTACATAATAATATGAATAGTTTTATGAAAGAGTTGTGCTCAGGGTGTACATGGAAACAAAATAAAATACAGAATGATGTAAGAGTTTTAAGTAGCTAGAAAATAAGTATACAAGCGAAAGTTAAGTCAAATCAACAGAGTTGTTACCATGACAGTAGAAGTGGTTGAATAATTTTTTTTGTATGCAAAGTTCTGGTTCTTCTGACCGAATGGCTAGGGCTTCTGCAATGCAAAGAAGACGGAAACGTGTTGCCTTTGGCAGATCGTTCTTCACTTTGTGGATTACATTGAAGGAGGCATTTGTTGAGATGGAATGACCAGTAGTGACGAGATATTCGATTATTGCACTCCTTATACGGGCACTACTTCCTTTCTGCAGCCATGTTGGATAGTGTTCTTTGACCCTTTTTGACGGGATGCGCTTCGAACGACCAACTGACTGAATTTCTATAACATCTTATATGTTGGATGGCCTTATCACGCATATGTATATCAATATAGTTATATGGCTTTACAGGTTGTCTACTATACATGGCGTGATTGTCCTCTGAATTTTCTAGAATTCTCTATATGCCAGCAGAAAGGGCAGATTGATTACAGCTTCCACACTTCAGTAGAGTCTGGAATATGGGCTTACCTTTCTGGTATTCAACAACTGCGATAATTTATAATCCTAAGGTGGAATTCGACTGTGTGACATGGTAATATTTGGCTGCGAAGAGGGAATCGACAACATACTTCCTACTAATCAAAGCTCTCCACTGGAACTCACGAGATTGTTTGAAGGCTTATGGATCGTTTTCATACCGCCAGAGTTCGAACTCAGGACCTTCTGGTTACAAGGCTAGTGAGCTCGTAGACCATTCAGTCACTGGGACATGACTCAATGACCAGCCAGTCCATGAATTCTAACTTCTTCCAATTCACTAATTTTTCATTATTTGTTTATTTACCTGTTTAGATACCTGTAACAATGACAATCCTCGGAATGCAGAAATCATTAAACAACAAAATGAATTGAACATTGAACAGTATAGCGTTAAAATTGTACAAGATAATGCTAGTAATAATATACTCAATCTGTTGACGCCTATAAAAACAATAAATATGAAACATTGAACAATTTAAATTCATTGTGCAGTCTAAAAAAGTTACAATTAAATGAACAATTTAAAACATTAACAATTGATGAACAAAATGAAGAGAATGAAATACGTCAAAAACAATTGAACAAATTATATTGTTTAATTCAGTCAAATCCAGAGCATTATGGTGAATTGTCTATTCAAGATATTAATGAACAAATGTCACATTTCTATTTATAGATGAGCATTAATGTGGAGGGTGACTAAGTGGGAAGGATATAAAGTTCAAAGACGATAGAAAACTCACTTCAATACATGCAAATACACACATATACGCATAGGGAAAGACAGAAAAACTTGACAAAATTCCTTTCACCCCTAAAATTAACGAATGCGATTTGCATTTCACATTGTCTCTTTTATTTTGTCTTGTACTCATTATTATTAGTAAACAAAAGTATAAATTAGAAATACACTCAAAAATAATGTTCGTTTATGAATAAATTTGCTTTTTAACAAAACTATGGAAAAGAATGACGTTAATTGGTGAATGCTAATTAGTTCTCGATCGATAGATTGATTGACTTGGCTTCGGACTTTTAAGTGACCATTATACATGTTGATGATGATGATGATGATGAGACTATCCGAGGTGACCTTGTATTGGTCAAATTGATGTTGATTTAATGAGGAGTGATAAATATAAGCGATGAAATGCACATATGCGTCGCTGCAAGATTCGAACTTTACAACCTCTAAATTGAAATCTTACCGCGAGGTAGAGGGGAGTGATCAGATCCAAGTACTATGTCTTACAATTCTGTTGTAATGACAGAAGACGAGGGCCAAGCAACAGATCCATTATTGAGAAAATCAACAGATATTCATAGATTTTTGTGTATACTATTATTAGCGTTATTGATAGCAGAGAAGCAACCTCTTATGATTGGTTATTTCTTTGCTGAAGGCTATTCTGTACTACTTGTGACTGTTTCTCAGAAAGTTAAGCCATATTTCTGCGAATCGTATTTTTACATGTTAATTCTGCTGTGATTGGTTGTTGAGTTCCTCAGGGATGTAAACATTGACGTCAGTTGCTGTCTACAATTTCGGTTTGCAGCCAGCTGTCTCTTTACACTAACGCTTTCATTCCCTTAGATTCCAAGGGGAATATATACCTTCAGCGGCGCATCACTATATCACTGTGTTCTCTATAGATCTTTTCTAAGCTGGTTCTGTGATCGCCTATAAGTTTTTTTTATTTCTCTCACCATGTCACTCTCAGACTTAAGCTCGGCTTATCACTTCCTATTCAGATTCACTCAACAGTTTTCTCAGTGTTTGTCCAATCCATCTCTAGTTCCTTCGGTTTAATTTTAAGACAGTAGGCTGTTGATTGGTTCTTTCTCAGAGCTTCCCTTTGCCTGCTCTTTTCAGTCGGCCTTCTGATTATTAGTATGTAATGAAGACAGCTGTTAACAGAGGAATATGTGGCAGCCTTTTGGAAATGATTTCGGTGACGCTAAGTCTTTGAATCGTACAAAAGAACTGAAAATCCGAATTTTGTTCTTTATACTGAATGGAGAACAGATTTCCACACTGATTTTAGAGTAATGAATATCTGCGTTTGCTTTTCTAATTATAATTTTGGCATTCTCACACATGCCGACTGTCTATAGTTGAAAAGGTGCTGCTTAGATAAGTGAAAGACGAGTTCTCGTTCAAATTTCTCCCACTGATGGTTATTGGTGCATTCCATTGTTGCTGTTGATTGGTCATTTTGATTACTTCTGTCTTTTCTGTGTTTACCCGGAGCCCTTTCGTCCTGTCACCTTGTTGGTTTTCACGTGTAAGTCTTCAAGTTTGTGTAAAGTTATAGATGAATTACCCGCGGAATTCAATTCTTCCAGAGTTTTCTTATCAGCCCAACGTATTCTTGTCTTCTCGCTGTCATTTACAGTCTGACGCTTAATCTAATCTACGACAATTAGGAATATCATCGTGGGGGATAACCTTGTTTTACTCTTGTACCCACTTCAATGTCTTCACTACGCTTCCAGTTGTGAATCACTTGGCACATATCTTTGTCAAACAGCAGTTGAATTAGGTTGATAAATGTTTGGGGCATTGCTCACCGTATTATTCCAGTAGTTTCCAAATTACTTTGCGATCAATGTTGTCCACGGCCTTTCAGAGTCAGTGCAGATGAGTTAGAGGTTTGACTGACATTCTTTGCTCTGTTCAATGATCATGCGTACATTTGCAATTTGATCGGCAGATTATTCAATATTTATCATTTATTAACATTTGGGAGAGGTGTATAACTTACTGGTGATTTGATTTCATCTTAAATCCAATCGCCACTGAATTTTAATTCGCTGCAAATCACAAGACTTGAAATTCAATCTAATGCTCACTAGCGACAGATTACAGAGTAAAGTTGCTTGTAGTTCTACTGGGAAGTCGTGACTATCTGCCAAATGATCCAGTTCACTACAATCAGGGATATCGTCAGTGATAATGGTAAGCAGCCTTGCAGTTAATCGGAGGGCAAACGACGACTTTGGTTAACTACCTCAGTTTAATTTTTCATATACATCAAACAAAATGATTGTTTTACTTTAAGAGAGTTTGCCCGCGGAGTGATATAAGTTAGAGAACCATTGGAAACGAGAATCGGAGTACTGGACTGATGTTTTATCCTAGTTTGGGAGTCATCACAGTACGAACCCACTGCCGGGGATCGAACCCAGGACCTTCCGGTTACAACGCCATCTCTTATACCATTCAGCCCCTGGTATATGATTTAATTGCCACCACATGAATTCTAACTTCTACCACTTTATGGTGCACTTAGCGCGACTGGCAACAACCAATGTCATCAGTGGGACATACATCCTCATACTTGGCTGAATGGACCTTACTGGTCACAACTTCTCACTAGAATTACAAGAAACCCTCTCCTGTAGGAAGTCACTAGTGAGCATCAGATTAATTTGATTTGTAAGGATTAGACTTGTTTATACGAGTTTGACCACGGAAATGTTTGCGAAAACTAAACACCTTCAGTTCACAATAGGTGATTAGCTTCACATGCTATAAACGGCATCAAGAAGCTAAGCGAAATCGCCGACATTACATATGCTATTAGCTGATGTGAGTAGGTGAATAGTACTCATACCGTTACTGACTTGTAGTTGATTTTTTTTTTACCAGCCTCCGAATGTGTCGACCATGAAGTAATTTAATAATTGCTTCAACACATTCAGGAGTGCAGAGACACAAACCTTTATAAACTTCATTCAGCACCTATATAATGAGACCCCGTGCGAAGTAGTTCACAACGCAAAGCTCACCGATACAACTGAAATGAAGACAGGAGTAAAACAAAGGTAGTTACTAACACAACTGATGACCTTGTCAATCGTGGTGGGCTGGATCAATCGGCAGACAGTAAGGAGTAAGAAGACAGCTATTTGTTGAATTGACAGAAGTACAGTAAAAGATTCGTATTTCGCTAGCGATCAGTGTCACATTTTGTACAAAATTGAAGATTGAAAACGAAAACCAAGAAGTTGATAGAAGAGGCATACATCGAAGGAGGAACTTCAGGTAAATACAGAGAAGGCATTGATGATGATAGTACACAGACAACACCAATAACGACGAACACGAGGAATCAAAATAAATTCATTTCTTCCACTTACCTGGTTGGCCAAAATTGTCTCAACTACAATCAATGCCCGCTTATGAGGATATCAGAACCAGTCAACCAAGGCTGGATCAAGAAAGCAAGCGTTTAGTACTCTGAAATCAGTGTGCAAAACTACTGCAATGAACAGGATAGGAATTTGTAACACTGTTGTCAAATCATTTAGCGCTTATATATGAATTTAGAGACTTGGTACGAGTTCCACTGAAGGCGCCTACAATGGACTGTGATGGCTTCCGTCAGCATCTGCTTTTACTGGATCGATTGATGCAGACGAAATAGCCGGCCGTAAATGGAAAAAGCAACAAGAAAGTTTGAAAGGCAGCTGATTAGTGAACAGTCTATTTGATATAAGTACTCCTCTGTATGAATTTGTGTGAGACGGAAATAATTATTCACCGGCGCCCAATAAGCTGAGTACTGCTTAAAAAATTATTAAGTTTATGTACAGAATATTTTTTACATACCTGCAAAGGTCAGCTGAAGGGGGATTCCAAACTTATTGAACATGCTGAAGAACTACACTTAAACAGTTTGTACACTAAGAGCTCAAGTTTAAACAAAAGGATAAATTAGTTGGAGGATTTCATCACGAGCCGACATCAGTTTGAGAACCATTGGAAAACCTGGGAGTACTGGACAGCTGTTTTGTCCGCCTAGTTTGGGACTCTTCATCAGTATGCACCCACCAGGGTTCGAACCAAGTCCCACACTAGGACGACGCAGCCGTCCAGTACTCCCTGCTAGGTTTTCTAATGATCCTCTAACTGATATCGGCTCATGATGAAATCCTCCAGCTAATCAAAACAAAAATCCCTACAAAACCAATACTTTGAAACATTTTATTTTATTGCTGTAAACTATGCTATTGGTGAAGTTAGCGTAAAGCAACCGAGAAATGTTTACCTCATCTCGCGATATTTATCTTTTTAATGTCTTACTTAAATTCCGTTAAATACCAGTACTTGAAAAAGATAAATATCTGGATACTAGGGCGAAAGAGTTACGCTGTGAAGACAGATGAGTAATTCACAAATTGAGTAGCAATGAATTGAAAATATTTATTTCCCGATACGAATTTAAAACAAGCAATAAAGGGGTTAATAAAGCAGGATGATTTAATGAATTCATCAAATTTCGGTAGAACTCATCAGCCACTGAATACTCTACATACACGGATATATATACACCATTGAAATTACATTGGGAGATATAAGACTGATAAGTAAACCAACTACACTGAATTAGTCATGCAGAAAGACAGGTGGGAATGTTTTCCAGGTCATGTTCAAATAGATCAGGCGAGAGAGAGTATGAGAGATCAAAATTAAGATAAATTGCATTACGAACACAAATTTTCAGCGAAGAGACTCTTTTCAACGAATTTATTATCAAGCTGTACAATCGTATATATATGGTTTTATAAAGAAATTATATCCGGTGAGGGAATTAGGTCAAAGGTGTAAATACATGAAATAATAATAGTATGAAATAAATTTAAAATATTTGTGATTAGGTTCATAGTTTA